CTAAAACCTCAAACCCCAAAACCCTAAAACCCTAAAACCCTAAAACCCTAAAGCCTTCTCAAAGCCCAGCCTCCCTGAGCCGAGGTTGATAGCACAAGGCCCTGCGTCACGAGGTCTGCTCTGCAGCCGAGCTCTGAGAGGTTTAGGGTTTAGGGTTTAAGGATCTAGGTTTAGGATTTGGGGTTTAAGGTTTAGGATTTGGGGTTTAGGGTTTAGGAGTTAGGGTTTAAGGTTTAGGATTTGGAGTTTAGGGTCTAGGATTTGGGGTTTAGGGTCTAGGATTTGGGGTTTAGGGTTTAGGATTTGGGGTTTAGGACTTGGGGTGTAGGGTTTAGGGTTTAAGATTTGGGGGGGTAGGGTTTCAGGTGTAGGGTTTTTGTTTGGGGTTTAGGATTCAGAGTTTAAGGTTCGGGGCTTAGGGACTGGGGGTTGGGGTTTTGGGTTTAGGGTTTAGGGTGCACGGCTACTGCATAGGGTACGGGTCCTTTAGTTCTGACGTCAGTTTCGACCGAATTTTTTTTTGTCACTTGTCGCAACCAGTGTTGGAAGTGGGGACTCGTTCCGTAACCTCCTTTTATCCGTATCTCTGACCACCCAATGTTGAGACCACCCCCATGGCTCTGAGGTGCTACGATTTCATCCACCGGAGAGATGTGCAGGGAACCTCAGAGGGAATGTGTGTGCGTGTGTATATCTGCCATATATATATATGTAGAGAGAGAGAGGGTTTAGGGTTCAGAATTTATTGCATGGGGATTATGTAGGGATTATATTCCCTTATTCCCTACTAACCCTCAGTTTGAGAAGATGGTTTCGAAACAGCACGGGCGCGCCACAATAATCACAAAAACGAAAAGCAGGAACGCCAAAAACCTAAATTCAAATTGCACGCAGGCCGTGAATCTTAACCGGATGTCCCCATGTGTCTACAACAACGGTTACATGATTTGCGGGCGTGGGCACGGGAGGCAGCGCATGTGGCAGCTATACGTCACCTCGAGTTTGCACCAAAATGACACTGACCAAGATCACAGCAAGAAGACATAAGCAAGAAAGAGGTGAGTAATAGCTTGAAGGAAACGTACCGGAGTCTTTAGCATAATGAAGTTTACTGTGAATCCTCACCCCGCCCAGTGTCAAATCTCAATTTCCTTACACTTTTCTGCTAGATTTTCGTTCGTGTCTCCACAATTCTAGCATGGCAGTTTCTAAAAACAATCTACACAGTTTCCCTCATCGGGAACCCATCATCCCCTGATGATCCCGATATGTCCCTAAGGGTCCCTGAGGACACCCCCCAGCTATTCCAATTATTTTAGCCCCCACATAACCCTAAACCCTACACCCTAAACCTTACACTTTACACCCTAAACCCTAAACCTTAAACCCTAAACCTTACACTCTAAACCCTGAACCCTAAACCTTAGGCCCTAAACCTTAAACCCTAAAACTCAAACCTTATACCCTAGACCCTGAACTCTAACCCCTACACCCTACACCCTAAACCCTAAACCCTAAACCCTAAACCCCAAACCCAGAGCCCAGGCCCTGCCCCCACCAACGTCCAGTCTATCGGAGCATCTTCGTGGGCTGCGGTGAGCATGACATTTGCACTTGGCCAGCGACAGGGCTGCAAGTCTGGGCAATTTAAAGCGACCTCACTGGACCTCTCCCAAAATGGTGGTTGAAGTACGGAATAGTACCAAAATTGCCTTGAATTGGGAAGTGAAATTCTTCTAAACTACTCTGAAGTCTTGCGCACGGTTTGCCTGTAGAGGGGCCAGTAGGGAACAAGGGCATATTTCATAGGGGGAGGATATTTGGATAATGTTCCCTTATACCCTACTACCCCCCGGGAAGTTTAGGTCTGGGGTATAATAAACCAACATTAGGGGGTTCTTGCTTGCAGGGTTAAGGGTGCCCCGTATCATAGCGGCAACCACAAATCGGGCTCATACTTCTGGCCCATAGTCCTACGCCCAGGCTAGTGCCCATGTCTGATTTCGCCCAGGACTTCCTGGTGCAGCGCGACAAAGATAGCCGGAGCCCCCAGGCTCAGGGTTGAAGATGTAGGAGGGTGGTATTTAGGGTTTAGGGTGTTGGGACAGTAGCACGAACAAGTTGTTCAAGAAAGTTCAGATGTAAGGCATGAGCGGCCACAACGTTTGATGATAGGATTTAGCTTGCTTTTGGCCCTCGCTCTAACCTGAGGGTTTTTGATCAATCCCTGCTGGCAGATATCTTCATCTGAATCGCGAACGCCGTGTTATGATGCCATATACAATTGCTTACCGCTTCTACATAGGCACGAAAGGATACATGTATGGCTTAGGTGGACCCCCCACCCTGTAATAGTGACTGCAAGGGATAGTGGTAACTAGACTCGAGTCCTCTTATATTCCTCATATAACAACTGTAACCTGAACCCGACCTCTAGACCCTAGATCCTAAACTCTAAACCTGAAACTACTAAAACAGGGTGGGGGGTCCACCTAATGTATGACGGTTTCTGAACTCATTCTCGCATCATCCTTGCCAAGGTTCCCTGAGAGGAGATACTGGGAATGAATTACTGGGCTCCTGTTAAGGGATTTAGATAAGTTACTATCATAAAGGATATTTCGTCCCCATATATAGGTAGATATACATACATATATGTAGAGGCTTTAGGGTTTTAGGGTTTTAGGGTTTTGAGTTACTATAATAAGGAATCCCTATTGTTTACGATATATACATAGATATCAACAGTATGGTAACACAGTTTAAGTTTCCTTACGCCAACCAAGATTAGGGCTTCCGGTTGAGGGTTCAGAGTTGGAGAAAATACAGCCTGCATTCATTCAGTTGGGGTTTCCCACATTAGGGGTACCTTAACTAAAAAGACCTAAGGGATCAAAGCAGAGGTTTCTCAGTTTTTTTGGATTCGGGTCTGGCATTTAAGGTTTCGGTGTAAGTAGGGCTAGTCATGGGGCTGTCATCATCTCGGGAAGCCATGCCGGAGAACACTCGCGGCATCTTCCAGACAGCACGTGATGCAGTTGCTGATGCCCGGGTTCGTGGCCTCTTCTCCAACAAGAAATATCGTGAAGCAAGGGACCTGGCCAACGAGCTTCTCCTACGAAGAGAGATCCTTGGTAAGTCCCATCCGTCTTGGCAGCAGTGTGCCGAAACATTGCTTGAGATCTACTACGTCTCTGGCGAATATGAACGGGCAGTCAGGCTCATGGAAGACGCAATGCGGTTCACGGACGAGAACTCCCAGCTTTACTTCACGCGCCTTAGTAAGTTGGCAGGGCTACATGAGAAGATGGGCGCGTATGAATCTGCAGAGCCACTCTATCTCCAGGCATTGCAGCTTCGCAAGAGCACCCTAGGAGATGAGCATCCCGATGTGATGAGCAGCCTCTCCTACCTGGCGGCATTGTACCGGAAGTTGGGGGCCTATCAAAAGGCAGAGAAGCATCTCAATGATGCTAAGAGCATTTTGGACAAGAGCCAGTCATGGCACAGAAAGCGTGAACCTGTGTACGAGAACTGGCTAGTTTCCATGGCAATGCTCCAACATGCAATGGGCCGGTACGAGTCAGCGGAGCCTCTCCTGAGCGAGGCCCTTCTTCTGCAAGAGCCTCGTCAAAGCTTGGGCGAGCGGCCGGAACGGTTCTATGCCACCACCCTGTCCTTGCATGCAGGCACCTGTGCCGCACTAGGAATGCATCAACAAGCCGAAGAGCATTTTGTGAAAGCTCTGGACATGAGAAGGGCACTATTCGGCACGAACCATCCCCATGTCGCTGCTTCACTGCATGAGTTTGGTGTGTACAGGATGGCTTGCGACAAGTTCTCTGCAGCAGAGGAAGCTTTCAAGGAGTCAGCCCGCATTCGTGAAACGACTTTGGGTGAGGACCATCCGCTGCTCGCTGAGTCCCTTTCAGCACTAGCCGAGTGCTATTGCTTCAAGTCTTTCCAGACGGGCTTCGAGCAAGGCTACCACGAAGCTTTGAAGCTGCTGAAGAAAGTCGGCCAAATTCGCTTGAAAACCATCTCGAAGGTTTTGCGCAGTGTGTCAGAATCTCGACGGTTCGCATACCTACAGACTATTGAGAGCACCTTGCATTTGCTGGTTTCTTTGGTTGTGGGCCCCTTGCACAAAGATGAGAATGCCCGGATAGCAGCCTTTGATGCAGTGCTTAAGTGGAAGGGAATCACGTTTGATGCGCAGCTAGCTGAAGAAAAGGACCCCGAGCTTGCCATGTTGCGAAACAAGCTGGCGCGGCTGATACTGGATGCATCCAGCCGTGAACAAGTTGAGGATTGCGAGATGGAAATTGAACGATTGGAGGCATCGGTAACTCGTTCCATGGATTTACGAGAGAGACTTGAGCAGGCAACTGTTGAGTCTGTCACGGACGTATTACCGGCAGGGTGCCAACTTTTGGAGTTTTTGCTGTACCGACAGACGGACTTTGCAAAGTCCACACAGGCGAGCCGAGCACTCTGCTATGCCGCTATGTTGGTTGGCCCAGCAGTTGGGGCTAAAGTCTGGCATTGCGGAGTCGCCCAAACTATCGACGACAAGATTTCACAGTTTCGACGGCTAGTCCAGACGCCTGCACTGCCTAACAGCATCGGCAGGCGGAAGGACTTTGATGCCGTTGGCTCCGAGTTGGTTCACTTGCTGCTGGGCCCGCTTCAGGACCAGAGCTTGGAGCATTTGTTCATTGCTGCTGATGGTGAGTTATCTTGCCTTCCGTTTGCCGCATTGCCAGGGAGCAGTGGCGGATTCCTGGCAGATGCACTGTGGACAGTCAGTAGCTGGCCCGAACACCACAGAAGAGTGCTTAAGTTAAGTCTTAGTTTTTCAAGCCTTCCCAACAGAAGACTAGCCATAATCGACATGATATGAGTCCATAGGTAAGCCCTTCATGGTTAGTGTTTACTTAGGCTATCTGCTCAGCGGCCGTGACATGCTCGGCCGAGAGGTCGCATCCGGAGGCGGCGAACCTGTGATTGTGGCAGACCCCGATTTCGCTTGGCAGGGGCCTCCGAAACCTGAGGAGTTTGGCGCACCTCATTCTGAGTGCCAACAATGCAGGTCGGCAGACATGGACCGAGACATAAAGTTTGACAAGCTGGGAGCAACCCGAGCAGAAGGGGTCTTTGTGCATGAGCTACTTGGCGGAACACTTTTGCTAGGCCAAGAAGCCACTGTCAGTCGCTTCAAAAGCATACACGCGCCACGCATTTTGCATGTGGCGACACACGGATTTTTTCTGAAAGACCAACCAGCAGCTTGTTCAACTCGCTTGGAAGCAGCATTGTCTACCACAGACAACCCTTATCTAAGATCTGGTTTGGCGTTGGCCGGGGCTCAGGCTTGGCAAGATGGACAGCTGGAGAGTTCTGGAGTCATCACAGCACAAGAGATTCGACAAATGCATCTGCAGGGCACGGAACTTGCAGTTTTGTCGGCCTGCGACACAGGTTTAGGCGAGATACGTCGTGGACAGGGTGTGCTGGGCCTGGCTCGGGCATTTCTCCTGTCTGGCGCAAGGACGGTGGTGATGAGCCTTTGGCAGGCTGCTTAGCTGGAAGTGTATGGGTTTTTCTGTCTTAGTAGTAGAGTAGTTCCAGTAACCTTTAGATACGTAGAATTCCTGCATAGTCCCAAAAATTAAAGGACCGGAGAACCCCATGTGAATCTAAGTGAGATAATGTTAGGATGCTGTCGCCCGCCGAAATAAGAAGACGCGTAACAAGAGATGATAAGCAGACGAAACGGCGATCCGCGACGAAGCGATGAGCGTGTTGCGAAAGTGCGAAAGCATTTATATATATGTATATAGTTTTTCATGTATGTATGTATGTATGTATGTGTGTATGTATGTATCCATTTATGGTGGTGATGGTCGTGGCCGTGGCGGTGGCGGCGGCGGCAGCGGCGGCGGTGGTGGTGGTGGTGGTGGTGGTGGTGATGGAGATGGTGGTGGTGGCGGTGATGGTGTTGCTGGTGGAGGTGGTGGTGATGGTGGTGATGGTGGTGATGGCGGTGATGGCGGTGATGGTGATGGTGAAAGTGGTGGTAAGAGTTTTGGGTGTCACGGTGCGTTTTCTCATGATGTTTGCGGAGTTTTGGGCGTCATGATGCGTTTTGTCATGATGTTTGAGGAGTTTTGGGCGTCACGGCGCGATCCCCCATGATGTTTGAGGAGTTTTTCGGCGTCACGGTGCGCTCTCTCATGATGTTTGAAGAGTTTTGGGCGTCACGGTGCTCTCT